AAATTTTGTTCCAAAAGTAAAACATTTTTGTGTTAAATTTAAAAAAATGTGTTGCTTATTTCTATTACACACCGTATACATACAACTATAAAGATTTGTAAGAAAGAGGTCTTTCGAAACAACTACTCACATTGAATTACACGAAAACCGCTTTTTCCTGTTCATTTTGAAAGAAATTCCTGGTCCTATGGCTGGGATTAAATTAATGAACTTCTTTCGGTAATATAAGTTGAAATCTTAGAGATATGCCTGTCTGCGTCTGAAAGTTGAAAAACTTCTGATGAGGAGTTGAAGATGAGTGTTTTCAACCCGAAACTTCGAGAAGTAGCTACACCATTAGGATGATAGTGTTACATATAAATGAAATTTTATATCAATACTCTTTAATATATTACGTTGTATAGCGTTCCTATTGATGAAATATGTTCCATAACGAATGACCTAAAAGGGAAAGGTAGTTTTTTTTGTAATGTTCTCGATGAGAATTTTTTTCTTCCTGAATCTGAAAAATATATAAAACAATTCAAAAAATCACTGCAATAAGCAAATTGAATAATAATTCGAAAAAATGTTTTTTTTGTTCATTGTTATCGTACACATTGCCTAAAGGATGGTTTTGAGTGTAATCCAAAAACTGTATTTCACCACAGGGTGTCTCAAATTTAGTCAATAAAAACATAACTTTGTTTTCCCGTGTATAAAGTGTATCAATCGTGACTCATTAGGAAATCTGTTCGATGTGAATTAAGATAAATTTTAATCCATTTATTAAAAAAAAATTGGTCTAAAAATAAAAGAGTTATTCAAGATAAACATTTGTCAACATTTAAAGACAGTCGTCTTTTATGCATCTGAGGGTAGATAATTCATTCATTTATTGAGAAAATATATCCAACAGGTCATAAGACCCAATTACAGGAGTACATAATACAAAATGAAAAGCTTATATTAGTCCTGAAAAATAGCATTACATACCATGTAACATTATAACATATAAGCATCAGTGGCAATCAGTTATGTAGCACATTATATACTGCTTTCCTAAACTGATATAATGGTAAAAAGAACATATCGATATTTTCTAGACTATTGTTAGGTACGTCGATATCATACATTCTAAGATTCTAATTCTAAATTTAAAAAATATATTGTTCAAACAAAAGCAACAAAGTTTTTCAACAAAATTAATTCATTTTTGAACAATTATTATATTTACTAACGAACTAATCGACAACCTATTTTTTCAATTATTATATTTTATGGAACTGTTTCTGCTTGGAAGTCGTTCATTCTTGTATTTTTTCTTCTCTTTTTGTGACTTTTTGTTGAATGTTTGTCATATTCTCCTGGAAATAAATATTACTGGAGTTTTTTCCCAACACCAAACCGTTATTTTAACAAATCGACGCGTGTTTCGATCACCAAGTGATCATCTTCAAGATGAAGATCAAACTAATCATATGTTCTCACAAAGCTATCCTTATTTATTTTTGAGTGTCTTGAATTAATTTTACAATTTGCCTTATCAACTTGTCTTAAATTAATTTTACAATGTGTCCTTATGTCCAATCTGATAATTGAAATATTATAGGCTATATAAAATCAATTTCACATATTGCCGTATCTACTAGTATTAAATAAATTTTACAATGTGTCCTTATGTAATAGTTGGATAAATTTATAATTAAAATTAATTTCACAATATTGCCTTATCCACTTGTCTTAAATTATAATTTTACAATGTGTCCTTATGTAATAATCAGGTACATCTAATAAATAAAATATTATTTTAACAAGCTATATAGTATACTATTAGGTATTGGTCCACCATCGTTATTCATAATATTATTATGTTTACTTATTTCTACTCTCATAGGCATCTAGATTCCTGTTAAATTGTCTAATTGTCTAACTAATCTTAATGAAATGAAGTCTGTGGAATGGTTTTGTTGCAAAATATGATGGGCGACTGCTGATTTTTCATGTCTTACATATTTTAAGTGTGCTGAGTGTTCCTTATATCTTATTTTAATAGATAATTTTGTCTGTCCATAATATTTTGCATCGCAGTCCTTACATTTAATTTCGTAAATAACAGACTTTTTCGAATTCTCAACTTTGTCTTTTGGACTTCTTAAAAGGCTCTGTAGTGTATGACTTGTTTTGAGAACCACCTTCATATCTAGTTCCCAAGTTCTTCGTGTATCGTATATTCTCCTGGAAATAATTTGGTTCATCCATAAATTGCTTACCACCTGCCTCTCTGCCTCATAATCACATGAAACGAGCTGTCCTTTTATTGCATTGACTGCTGCTAAGATCTCTGTTATACAATACAAAACCTATTCAGTTCAGATCTCTTGTAAAAGTTTAATGTCCAGTATCCAATCTTGGCATATCCTACTGTTAATTGTCAACTAGCATCACAGTTCATCCTCATATTGTATCCAATAATCTGCCTTTGGTTTCACTAACCAAGTTGAGAAAAGCTTCAGATATCAGTACCAATCAATTCATGAAACAAAATTTGTAAAGAAGACTGAATATATATATTTGCTTTGGAATCAAATTGAACTTTCTGTTTAATACTCCATTTAAAGGGGCTATACTCGAATTTCATGTAAGACATTTGAACGTATCGTATATAATTTAGACGTATATTCAGTATCGTGCTAGTTGCATTAAGAAAAATTTCCATATTGCTAAAGGTGACATTATTCATTTGTTTTGCAAAAAATAGAATGTTCACTGATACGAGTGTGCTGTTTGGATATGTAACGAATACGTCTTTAGATTTACGTCTCGATGAGACATTCGCCATTGTATTTACCGTGCAGGTGTCAAGCAGTCTACTGTTATACGGTAACGTATTGCATGGGCGTGCAAAAAATATGAGTATGTATTTATAATTTCTTGTTTTTAGATCATGTTTATTGCAGCGTGCAACAAAAGTACATGTGAGGATAAAGAGTAAATGTACATAAGTTATATACTCGATTTTTAAGTACATTTCACGTTACAAATTAATAATAATAATAACAAATAATTGACACACAAGTTTTCATAAATATAATTTGGCTTTTTGTAAATGAGGAATTTATGTGTATTGACGAGTAGGTGGAACTGCCAGGTTTTAGCAATCGGTAACCAACCTGACACCTCGAACTTGGGGGATATATGGTCGAATTTTCTCACATCATAAGAAACACGAATGCAATTGTTTTGTATTTTTTGTAAGCGATTTACATCAGTTTGTATCAAAGCAGGTCCGTAGATGATTATATCGCAGTATGCTAATGTAGACAATATGAGGGTTTCGCAAAGTTTCAACTTCAATTTGGAAGTCATAATATCTCTATTTTGATAGAGTTGACGTAAGCTACTGTATGAGCTACGACTAAGTGAATTTCATATGTTTGTGAAATCTCAGATCAGCATCTAGCCATGAATCCAAGTTCTTGCTTTCTGTAATTGTTTGTAGTAAGTCTTGTCCAAGTTGGATTTCAATTCTTTTTTCAATTTCCCATCTTTTGTGTTTCGGGCCAAAAGGTATCAGCTGAGATTTTTTAGAATTCAATTTCAGGTTACCAGTTACTTGGAGGAAATCGATAATATAACTGAGTGTCATTTGCATAATGATGAACTGTGCAATGATCTATTATTTTATGTAAGTCAGATATATATAGAGAGAACAGATAGAGAGAACAAATTCACATTGAAGAACATTTTACAAACGTACATTCAATTAATTTAGGGTACAGTTCCCAAATTCATACAGGGTTCTCAAAAATGTACGCTGTGGATGCATGTTATTAATCAATTTGCTACTTTCTTTGTGCACTCACTGTTTCCGAATCAAAGAATGCAAAATACAAACTCTTCATTAAAGTTGTTTTATGTCGTACAAATACAAATTTACATGCGACACGTTAAACGTCTTCTGTCTTTTCCTGTAAAAGGAAGAAGTGGAGAAAGAGATGGGAAAAAGTATGCCCGATTTAGGACGCATCCTCACGACCTAAGGGAGAGGTTAGTTCAGAGTATCCTGCTATTGTAACAGGTACTTTTCGTAACAACAAGTTGACCCGGATATAACTGCAATTTTCTAAAGGTTCAAAACAAATTTCTTCGATATCTTTATATTGAAAAATATCATAAATGGCCTGGTTACAATTCAATACGAACATCTCCACTAAGAAAAGAATTCAAAATATTATCATTTGTACAAAGATGTAGTTTGACATCTCTAATATTTATTTATAAAATAACACTAGTCAACAAAATTTTAACTGTTTTTTGTCACATGAAAACTTATATCAAACTTTGAATCTACTAGGGTCACTAACCAATATTGTATCAATGAAAAAAAATTACATAACAGATTTTTGTCTTGACATCAAAGCATATATTTTGGTGAAAATTACAAAAATCAACTATACTCAGAGAAATTATTACTTACTGTACAATAAATATTTATGATTTTTGTGAAATCTGCTAGCATTCCTGGGCCCAATTTCCATTGATAACGCTTCTCTATTTAGTAAATGTCTTAATGGAATATCTTGTTCGTCACTCACAACACCCAAATCTAGATGAGAGTCAAACATACGTATGTTTTAGGACACATTACACCCCAAAGCTTTATCTGACACTATAAGTTTCTCTATTAGGTCTTTGTGTTTTCCGGTTTATGATTTCCTAGGAAATTTTGGACAACACTCACAAAACATTTCCAGGCGATTTTTTCCTGATCATTTAGTTCTCTTTCAGAGCTCTTATCCTTCATAAGTTGTCGTGATTGTTAGCCTACAAATATTCTCCCTTCAATTTTCGAGTCGCTAAGTTTGGGGAATGTCTCTTTCAGATATAAAAATCCACTGACATCTTTGCGCATAGCTTTTACAAATTTTTCCATCAGACCGAGTGCAACGGTGGTAAAAGTATGTCATCAGGGTGAACTGAAGGCTTATTTTTAACATTTTTACGGCCTGGAGTAACGGCCGATTTCATAAAGAAACATAAAGGTTACTTTAACTTTAAATGATACTTTAATAAATATTTTTGATTTCATAACCAAGTTAAAGTGTCCTTTAAGCCAAAAACGTCCTTCAAAGTTAAAGTGTCGATTTCTCTACTTCAACTCGCTAAAGTGTCATTTAACTACAACATAACCTCAATTTTAATAATTGTTATTTGTTGTGCTACTCGCTACGTTTGCTAGTTTTGTGTTCGTTTAGCCATAATAATCATAAAAATATGAATAATTTTGAAACGTCTAGCTCAAGTTCATCTGATGAAGAATTTATTTATACTAGAAGACCAAAAGTGTATAGGAAAAGAACAGACTGCTTCGAAAAATATGATGAGCTTGACTTTTACCAACGTTTTCGCTTAAAAAAACAAACTGTTTTGTATCTACTAGATGAAATAAAAGAACAAATTCAGTTACCTACTAATAAGTAAGTTGTAAAATTTGTATTATTAACAGAATTATAAAAAAATTTATTTATTTTTTAGAGGTGGGTGCATTACACCATTACAACAATTATTGTTGACTTTAAGATTCTACGCATCAGGAAATATGCAAATAATCGTATCAGATTTTATGGGAGTGTCTAGAAGTTCAGCTAGCAGGATTATCAAAAAGGTGTCTATTGCTATTGCCTCACTAGCCCGACAACACATTCGCATGTATGAAAATAAAAGGGAATTGGAAGAAGCAGTTGAAAAATTTTATGAAATAGCTTCATTTCCCAAGACCATTGGAGCAATTGATTGCACATTAGTTAAAATTGATTCTCCCGGTGGAAATGATGCAGAAATATTCAGATGTAGAAAATCTTATTTTGCATTAAATGTTCAGACAGTAAGCGATGCTAAATTGAAAATAAGAGATATTGTTGTGAGATGGCCAGGATCGGTGCATGACCAAACAATTTTTAATAATAGCAGTTTAAAGCAAAAATTTGAAAATGGTGTATTTGGTCAGTATATGCTAATTGGTGACAGTGGATATTCTCTAAAGCCATATCTTATGACTAAGTTACAACAAACTAGAACACCTGCTGAAAATTTATACAATGAGTCTATAATAAGGACTCGAAATGTAGTAGAGCGTCAATACGGTTTATGGAAAAGACGATTTCCCGTTTTGAGGTTTGGCATGAGACTAAAACTAGAAACCACAATGGCAGTAATAGTCGCAACTGCAGTTCTTCATAACATTGCCATTGATATGAATGATAACTTTACTGAAGAAGATGAAATAGAGGAAGACGATGAGGATGTATTACCCCCCATGGAAAATAATCCAAATATAGCAGAAAATATAAGGAATTTGATAATTAATGAACATTTTGCTAGATTGTAAATACTAATAATAATTAAAAATCAGTTTTATGAAACATTTAATTTATTTAATTGTTTTTCTTTTAATTTGATTTCTAAATCCAATAAAGTCATTTTTTTTAAATGTTCTTCTTCTTCTCTCTCCCTTCTCCTTGATCTCTCCTTCTCCTCTGCTTCTACCGTTTTTTCAAGAAGCTCCTTTTTCTTTTTATAATAATCTTCTTTTGCATTATATAACGGGTTTATTTTGGTTGGGTGTAGTTTTCCGTTGGCTTTTCTTTTTAAATTATTAGGTGCATAACTACTCCAATCGATTTTTTTCTTAATATGCGTTTGCTGGGAACAGACAAGAGTTATATAATAAAAATTACAACTGTACCACACACAATTCAAAACTCACTTTTTTACTAGACATGCTCCCTGAGGGTGTCACTGATGTAGGAGGTGATATCTGGTTCTCCTCCAATACAATTTCTTCAGTAAATTCAGGTACTATCTAAAAGCAAATGTACTATTACATTTTTTGAGGTCCTAACTTAAATATTAGCTTTAATCAGCATAACAAATTAAAAGGTTTGGGAAAAAAAGTTTTTGGCTTTCTACTTCTCCATCTTGATACAAAAAAAAATGTAGGTATCTTCGAAAGAAAGGAAGGAAGTAATCAATTTGAAAATAAGTAACTCTATACATAGATGTGTAGATCATGCGAAGAAACAATTTTCAGACACATACTGGAAGGAAGCCCTCCTGAAACAGCTACTTTCATATGAACATTGAATTACACGACAGAAAAAAATTCTTTCGAAACAATACTGAACAATGAATACTGAATTATACAGAAGATACTTTGTAATGTAATTCAATGTTTATATGAAAATAGCTGTTTCAGGAGGACTTCCTTCCAGTTATTATCTGAAAGATGTTTCTTTGCATGATGTACACATCCATGTATAGAGTTACTTATTTTCAAATTGATTACTTCTTTCCTTTCTTTGGAAGATTCCCACATAATTTTTGTATCAAGAAGAAGTAGTAGAAAGCCAAAAAGTTTCTTTCCCAAAAATTAATCACTCCTAAAAATATAAACCCTTCAATTCAAAATAAAAGGTCTTTCCGAACTATGGATTAGTAGTGAAAAAAATCTATAACTTACTGATTGCGTAGAAATCTCTGACATTTCATCTTTGGCTTCTCCTGCTGCAATTATTGTCATTTCTGAATCCTGTAACAATATATTCAGAATAATTAATATTATACAAGTATGTTCCCAAGACAAAAAATAACAAATTTATCTTGACAACTATTAACAGGTTGCTAATATATTATCATTTAAAAAACGGTTTATTTACTTACAACATATTGTTGAGGATATTCTTTTAGAAGTTCTTCCTTTAAAACTGAAGATGATGCATCCATTCCAAGATCCTATAATACCACATACAATTAATATTTAATTTTATTGCCCTAACCAATACAGATAAAATCATGAAAGAAATAATGTTTTTAACCATTAACCAAATTTTAGTTTGGTAACTGTTAAAACAAAATGATTTGGTTATAAAAAAATGTAATTACATTTATGAAATCGCTATCCAAGCTGTTATTCAAACCCACCACCGTTTTCATATTTATTATATTTAGGGTTGCTTCTGTTACAGGATCTAAATCAATTTTTATTGCGGGACCACCCCCTGTTCCCGTCATATATGATTTTTGTTTCGCCACATCCTTTCTAGCTTTTGTTTTCAGATTATCAAATTTTGCTTTAATCTGAGATATACTTCTCACTTGTATATTTCTGGAGTTGAAGCTGGAAAGTACTTTGCGCCATGCCTCTTCCTAAAATCATATTTAAATTTATTAATATTGAGGTATCTAACTACATAGATATATATAGTTTTAATTTATTATTTCAAGCTCACACCCTTCACCCTTGATGAAGTAAAATTAGGGTTATGATTACATTAACATGTATTCTACAATAAATAAAATACACACAAAAAATTGCTTGTACTTGTAATACATACCTTTTCTGCATTCGTTACTTTATTAGTAGTTTTGCATTCTAAAATATGCTTGAATTTTTCAATTTCTTGTATTAAATTCATTTCTTCCTCCCGAGAAAAATTTGACGAGCGAACTTTCTTATTATTATTTACCATTTCCATTTCAGTCCAAATCAATCGTCCTCACAAATACAAATAACAAAAACATCAAACACCACAACTCTTAACCTTACTTATTCAAACACTGAACTTAAATACTCGTCAAATATGACAAATCTTGTCAAAATCCATGAATTCCAGGTTGACCAACATCTTAAAAATTACTTAAAAGATACTTTATGGAAAGGGCACTTTAATATTAATTATGAAACCAAATGACGGCAACAGCTACTTTAAAGGGGACTTTAGTGTAAAGTCTCCTTTCGGTAAAGTGGACTTTAGATATTGATTATGAAATCGGCCGTAAGTGACTCACGCTTGAGCCACATTTTATTTTATTAGTAACTGTTTCTGTGTCTGCTGTCCCATTCGCAAATAAAACAGCAAAATTTTGTGTAATAAACATATAGTCCAAGTAAATAATAAATAACTTTAAAATCGTCACAAATTTTCCAAGCGTGTTCACTTTATTTAATTTTGTCAAGAAGAAATCTCATATTTTCGTGAGTTTCTTTCATATCAGAACCATGAGCAACCGTTTCTGTTATGCAGCAACACTGCTTTCAAACTAGTTTTTGAGGAGTCAATGAACAGTCGCCAGTGACTTGGATCATATTCAAAATTCAATAAATTCATCACAACATAAATATTATTACAATGGACTTTAGGAAAGTAAGGTTTCATTTCATCGTCACAATGTCAAAAATGAGAAAGTTTCCTAAAAGGAGAAAGTAAATTCCAGTCCTTTAATCTAGATCCCAAAAGCTCAGCCTGTTTATTTAGACAAATTTAAATCACGTACTAAATCGTTTAAATCACTTTGTGTCAATAAGTGCGGTTCTTTTAAGTTTGCGGTTCATAACTTGGGTCACTATCTCCATATTCCTCATGCATGAACAAGTTCTGCCGGACTGGAATCACGACTTTCTGGTCGATTTGGAGGTTTTAGCACAAGCAGTTCGGCACTATCCAGGATGGGTCTGTTGGCCGAAGACAAGTTTGGATACTGGATAGTATGTCTGGACTTCGTTGTAATGCCTTTTATTTTTGTTTGACTCAAATAAAAGCCCAACCTAATAGGAGTCTCACACACGTTACACAACATTTATCTGGGACCCAGAATTTATCTTGATGCTGCACAGTAATCCAAAATATTCTTAAAAGCACTGTTGAATTAGTAGAACACTTTTGTTGCATATTTGCGATGTACCTAACGAAAATAAAATGTATGTTAGCTGATGCAATAGCTATACAGCCGCCTAAATAACGTATATTAAGTCAGAAATGAATATATAGCTGTCACAAAAAACTGGATGTGATTAAAACAAAATTATTGTGTATTTATAATGGGGGTAGACCAAAGTTCATGTGACAAAAACACTGTTGACCTGTGTAATTATTAATCTTATCCTTCCCGAAATCTCAGGCTTGATTCCGTTTCATGGTGACATAAAAACCTAAAAATAAAGAATAATGAGTAGGAAGATTTTTCTCTACATGCTTTTCGTTTAATGTCATTTGAAAAAATATTACTGGGAATAAAGAAAAAAATTAACACTTTTTTTTTGAAGAGTAATTTTTTTAGCTCCTGAATTCAACGAAAATCATCGCAATCGTTGAATAGAATTTTGCAAAGATCCAGGTTTGACTGTTTTCTGTTCAAACGACTCGGACTTATCTTGTAAGAACTGTTGTGTTCAGTAATGCATGCGTGATTCAGTCTAGCACCAGTGAGATGATGATGTGAAAATTGTCGATAAAAACCATAATATGATATATAACCAAGTGTGGATTCTACAAGATGGCACATCATATAGAATTGATACACGCATTGGAACAGAACAGTTAGTTACACCTTCGGACCATAATTCGCTACAAATATTCGAAATTCAGAAATTAATATCGTATACTACGTGTTGCAGAGATAAAATCAAAATTATTGATCCATAATAATAACAAACATTATAAAATTCTAATATTTATTGGATAATTTTTGACATTATTGGACATTTGTGGGAGATTGACAAGACGGGGTATCTATGTTCAGGAACTAACGGGAATTTTCGTTTGGAAAAATATTTATTTATTCAACTACAATAATGTAACATAATTTATCTCTTTCAGCGATGCGCTTTTGATGGCGTTTATGATTGTGAAGTGATGGCCCTTCAAGGTTCTCTTAATTTTTGGAAACAGGAAAAGTCACACGGAGCCATCTCTGGCGAACGTGGAGACTGGAGCGTGTTTTAAGTAGTTGGCCAAAAATTCACAAACAAGCAATGGAACTCGAGCTAGTGCATTATTGTAGTGCAAAAACCACGGATGATTTTGCCACAAATACGGGCGGTGATCGTTATCTTCAACGTCTTCATGGCCATCTTGGAAACGCTTACGTCACTCGTTAACTCCTGTTTCACTCAGATCAGACACTTTAGGCTTTATTTAATTTCTCACACAAAATTTTATACAAATTATTTGATTCATTTGTTTTAATAAGCTAAATTCGCCGTGCTCTGAAGAACAGGTTCTAACCTCAGCGGTTGCCACAGACAAAGTAGACAATGAATACAGATGAATATTTTATTATACTGCAGTAGCTTGTATACCGACTTGAAAAAAATTGGCAATGGGATTCTCAGAACCCGTGAAATCAAAATATTCCCGTTATTTTCTGAACCTACCTCATATCTTATGGGTTCATCACTAAAAATGGTTGTTTCGGTTATTACTTCAATGGGAATTCTTCTGAGGAATAGATACATATTCCAAAACACAACTGAAAAAATAATAGCACCCTCAATATTTCGACCTTATAAAAACAGTAATGTGAAAAATAACATTATTCATATTTCTTTGTAAACGCTGATGTTGCAGTTCTAATTAACAAGAAACGCCCATGCATTTTCTTATCTTACTCATTTACTTTAATAACGTTCTATGCGCACTGAATGTGTGTTCCAAATCATGAGAAAAATATGTAGCCGTTTCAAGGATAAATTCCTTGAATCACTTTTCATTAGCCACAAGAGTGATTTGATTCGTTTTTTATTGTATTGAAAAACGACTCCGTGATCTATCGATAATTATAGCGACAAAATGGAAATTACTTACCAACCTACCTACCTTTTTTGCTAACCTTTCCAATTCCTGTATTCAACTGTTTCTATGTGTCTGCTTAGACGATTTCACTTTTTTCTGTTACCAGAAAAAACCTGTTTCTTTCATCACGAAAGAAACAGGTTTTCGTAGTTGTATTATCACCCAAATCTGATCCTAATTTTTTGGTCAATCACTGTATAATCGAAAAATTGATAAAGGTAAAAATGGCAAATGCCAGGAGAAACACTAGAAAATGTATGTTGATAATCCACATATAAAATGGAAGAAAAAGATAAAAGAACTACTTCGATGATATAAAGTTATGAATGTTTGGTGGATAAATTGATGAAGCTTTATAATAGGGGAGCCCAAGCGGGGATTTCGGGATTTAGTGAAGCGCGGCTGATTAATATACAGGAGGATACCTTGTACCCGGTTGAATACCTCAACCAAATATAAATATTAGCCCCATATATAAGGCCGCCCGTGAAGGATAAAGCATCAGATTAGCAAAAAAAAATTGATCATCAGGAATTCTCGAGCGCATCAGATTAAGGTAGGGTGAGTTATTTACATGCTAAAAAGTGTATATTTCAGTAATCTGACAATTTATTACTATTACTCTCTTACTCCGTCCCCACTCTGAATTCTGTTGCCATGACGCTATCACAGCTGATCACAGAGACTCGTTCGTGATGAAGATGAAGATGATGATTATTTGCACATTATAATAATGGCCGCGAGTTTGCGTCAGATCGAAATCGTCAGATTATTGAATGAGAGTTTTTTTTTGTTGCACTCAACACCCCCTTAGAAAATCTGACGCTCTCGATAAAATTTTTTTCTTTTCACTTTCAACCCTTACGTACAACCACCCGCTTCATGCAAACGATCAAATTAACATACGAACATTATTAAAAATACGTAGGGCATTGATGCAATCAATATCTGACGTGCTCGAGTATGTCCATGCAACAGTATTTTTTACATATTTAAAAATCTACAGCCGCTTCCCCCACCGATCATCTAAGCTTTGCAACCTAATATGTCTCTATGAAGCTCGAGTAAATCCCCATTTTGCATCGTGGGCTCCCCTATTATTAATAATTTGTGTTACTCATTCGTAGGAAAAGTAGTTATTTCAGATGACAGTTTTTTCTCTTGATTTAATCTAACGAAAACAATGATGAACGCTTTTGTATTATCCCTAATAGACATAGACGCAAATACGCATGCAAAACATTATAAATATTTATTGTGATAAAAAATTGAAGACATTAGTGATATACTGGACACCATTAAATTCAACATCATTTGATTGAGTAGATTCTCCAAAGGATTGAAGTCTTGTAAACGCTATAATATTCTTGCGTGGTAGAAGCAGTTCAATTTTTTTTTAGTTGCCAGATATACAGTCAAAGGCCAAAAACAAACCTTATGAACGCAAGACGCGATGTAATACAAGAATACCAATAACTTTAGATGTTCATCTGATAAAAGCATTGGAAAAAACAATATACGACTGTTATAATAGCAATTACATTCCTTCAAATGAAATCACAAGGGAGAAATTGAATACTTCCAGCCATAACGTGACAAAACAACTCTTCAGAATTGGATAAAGAAACTAGGATTTAGATTTAAAATAATAAACAAACGTCAATAAGTTATGGAAAGCAGAAGAATAGTGGAATTGCGTGATAAATACTTTGAACAAATAACTAAATATAGACAAGAACAACGGCAAATTTTCTATTTGGACGAAACTTGGTATGACAATCACGAAACAGTTACGAAAGGGTGGACTGATGGTTCGAGAATGTGTACGTCTAACATGCCTGCAAACAAAGAATCGCGACTAATCATTGTGCATTGCGGAGGAAGTGAAGGATGGGTTCCGAATTCTTTGAAATTATGTGGAAAAAAATTTAGGGCTACAATGTTGACTATCATAAGAACATGGAAGCTAATATTTTCGAGGAATGGTTTGAAAACATTGATCCCAAATTTGGATGCGAACAGATTAATAGTTCTTGACAATGATTATTGTTAGGCCATTTGCAAACAAATGCCCAAGGTTTACCTGCAAAACATTTCACTACGCCCTAACTGAGTTTTCAGAATCTCGCTTAAATGCATGTCATTCACAAATAAACGAGGCGCCCTGTACGAAATACGCACCAATATAGAGT